CACCCTCCATCCCTCCCCCGGTCAAGCCCTCGCAGGCTCATTTCCCCCCGCCCCAGCCGTCCTTGCCCCCGGCCGCCGCTGCCCAGCCGGAGGCCGCGCAAGGTGCCGCCAAGGAGGGCGGTGGCACGGAGCAGCCGGACCCCTCCACCATGACTCCCCAGGTAAGCCGGGCCGGTAAGCGGGGAGTCGCCAGGGCAGTGGTGGCGATGGGCCGCTGGCAGATACGGGGTGTTGCAAAGGTCCCCGAGTAAGGGCAGTTTGTAAATACTGAAAGGATTTGGACGCAATCCGTGAAAGTGTGGTAATGGCACAGCTCAGGGGAAGCTTCATAAAGGTTGATTTATCAGGTGGTGGTAGGGGTGTAACAAATTGTCATTTCTTGAGAAAAATTGTTCAGGGAAAGGTGTAAATCGTGGCTGACTTTAATTTTCTTGAGCGTGTGTTGGTCTCTGGAGAATGTATTCCAGAGTACAGCATGTGGGCGACCTAACCCGCACCTGTTGGCTTCGTCTGGCTTGTTGTGAGATGCAGAAGTCCGTTTGTGTGTTGCACATTGTGGATGTCATTTGTTTTCAGTGATTTCTTTATTATAGTTTTTTTAAGGGGTTGAGTTGCAGTTGTCTGCCTGATCAGTGTAGAGTTGTGACTATTTTAATCTTATCGCATACAGTTAAAACTGAAGAATTGTTTCTGTTGCAGTACATATCTGCCCTCTACTTAGACTTAATCCGCATTTTGTGCTACATGTGCTTGATCTTCCAGTAAAAAATTACATAGGGCATTGGAGGGAAATGTTCTGAAATGCCTTGGAGTGAAAAATGTTATTGCTGTGGTTTTTTATGTGTTTACTAGGACCAAAATACTGCAAAATGTTTGTGTGTTTCACTTCCTAAATGAGACCAGTGCCAGTGAGCTCGATGGGACCATTCATCTGCATTGTGAGGGACAATCCAGGTTTAAGGTTCAGCATGCACAGCAAGCCATGTGTGTTGAGGCCCTCAGCTATGTACATGAGCTAGGCAGATTCACAGAGGCTTTTGCATGGGTTTAGAGTTATCTTATTTGGATTCACCTGCAAGAACAAAATTGAAGTGCATACTTTAAAATTTTTTTATTTAAATTTACTTTTTTGGCAAATTTATCTTAGGGTTCTGGTTTGAAGCTAGGTTTGCTAAAATCTTATTGTGTCATATTGAAGTCAGTGGCACTTTAAATTTGCTAATTGCTGGGACACCTTTTTGATTGTATCTGTATAAATTCAATTTTTATATTTGTACCATGTAGCTAATTACTGCCTGGCAAAGTAGTTTTGGTTAATTTCACTCAATTTTATGGAGGTTTTGGACAGTACTAATTGATCTTTTACAGTGATAACAGTAAGACTTATTTTTTTAATTACAAAGCCAAAACTTCAAAAAGTCACATGTAGAAAGTGGTGTTAATTTGGTATTGAGGCAGCTTGTTGACTTCTTAAATTTTTGAGCTCAATGGTAAAATAGTAAACACTCTCCAGAAGAGTTGCAAATAATGCTTTATTGTGGTGCACATATGGAAGCAGCAGAATACTGATGAAGTTTATGTTGTCTGATTTATGAATGTTTGTACAAGCAGCTTCTATCTTGAGTAGTTTGCTTGCTCTCATTCACAATTCAGTGTTAATTCAAAAGGAACAGGATATTTTCCTGGTCATAAATTTTTTACAACAGATTGATACAGTGTAATTTGTCATTTGTAGTATCCTATTAAGCTGTTGTTTAAACTGGCAATTGAAAGCAATTCTTTCCATTCTCATCCCACAGTAACAGTGGCTGCAGACAAATTTATCAGTGTTTTTCTCTTAACTCAGAAAATATTACGCAATTTGCCGTGAGTTGGTGTTTTATTATTTTCCTTTCCTGTCTACAATACTGTTCTTTGCCTTGACAGTGTTGTGAGTCTAGTGTAGTTTCTTCCATGGGTATATAGTTTTATTAAGTCGATGGATTCTTGTCAAATCCAGTGAAAATAACTGTGGTATTTCTTAATGTTCCTTCTGATACTTGGGTGATGTCTGCTGCTATTTGTTTACAGTATCACAGAATGGATAAGGTTGGAAGGGGCCACCGCAGGTCATCTGGTTCAACCTCCCTGCTCAAGCAGGGTCATCCCAGAGTACATGGCACAGGGCTGTGTATTCCAAACAGTTCTTGAATATCTTCAGTGAGAGAGACTCCACAATTTCTCTGGGGAATTTGTCACATTGCTCAGTCCCCTGCATGGTAGAAAAGTTCTTTCTCATATTCAGGTGAAACTTCCTGCACATCCTTTTCTGCCCATTGCCCCTTTCCATGTTCCTTGGCATCACCAAGAGGAGCCTGGATACTTCTTCTTAACACCCTTCCTTCAGACACTTGTGTACACTGACAAGGTCCCCTCTCAGTTGTGTCTTCTCATGGCTGAACAGGCCCAGCTCCCTCAGCCTGTCCTTATTAGAGAGCCATGCTCCATTCCCTTGGCATCTTCGTTGCCTTCCACTGGACTTGTTCCAGGAGTTCAAGTCTCTCTTGTACTAAGGAGCCCAGAACTGGACACAACTCCAGGTGTGGCCTCACTAGGACCAAGTAGAGGGGCAGGATCACCTCCCTCAACCTGCTGGCAATGCTCTTCCTGCTCCAAGGATGTGTGGATACATCTGTACCCATAAATATGCATTTATCTACATCTGTTAAAGCTACCTCAGCTTTATCACCTCACCATTTAGCTGACTGCTGCGCTCTTTAAACAGTCATTTTGTTTTATAGAGGGTGCTAAACCATTCTTTTGCAATTTTCACCTGGAAAGGACATGGTGTCCCCCCAAATAGGAATTATGTTATGACCTTAGGGTCACCTATATTAACTTTTGGAGTTGTCTTTTGGTGTGGACTTCACATTAACAAGTTTGGTGGTATGTCCTCTGGTCAGGAGCTGATAGTGCTGATTTCAGTGTTCATGTAAAATACAACAGGCCTAGTCTCTTGGTCAGCCAAAAATGGAAAAGGGCCTGTGTTGATGCTTGTGATTTCCTTGGGCTTAAGGATTATAACTGGACTTAAAAAATGGCAAGTCCAGTTGGATGACAAGTCATTGTGAGGACATAAGCGCTCAGATAACTGAACTCTTCATCATGAAAAATTTTCTACACTAGCACTTCTGTTTTGCTCCAACTAAGCTGTAAAAATCTACCATTCTGCTTTTCTCATGCTTTTCAGGTAGCACAGTAATAGATGTCACTGTTTCATCTGCTGAAAATAATAGGTAATTATATTATCATAGCTCTGGAAAGTCATAATATGAGTTATAGCCCTGTGTCCAGTTAGTGGAATGAGGAGGAAACAAAAGGGATCTGTGGAGACAACAATTTTGTGGCAGTAGAACATGAGCTCACCCATCATAGCATCTAGCACATGATGGCAAATCACCTTATAGTGCCTTTTGAGATGGAGAATTGAATCAGGTTTTATATAGCTGGGAAAGTATGCTTCTTCCTTGAGTTGCACTTATTTCAGCATGTTGTTGAAGATTTCTGACAGAGTCTGTGCTGCAGAATGAATGCATATCTTCCATCTAAAACTATGGCAGCTCTTCTGAGACATATTAAAAAGATTCATGGCAGGAATAATTGCATGGTCAATTTAAAGTCTGTGAAGCATAGTCTCTCATTTGATTCACCTCATTTCCAAGTTACAGAAGTATTTTTTTAAAAATACAGTTCCATATTTATGTTTACTACCAAGAGAAAACATAATTTCTGATCTGAGCATGAGGTAGGTGTCTAGCAGAAAGTTACTCTTGTTTAAGATGGGCAGAGTGATTCACTTTTGCGAAATCTCATCAGACAGCACTTACTGATTTGATGTTGTCTCCCTTTTATTTTAAAATGCTGGCATCTTTTGAATTCTTTTCTGTTTCTGACTGGGCTTTATATAGGTGTTTTTTCTTAACTGTGCATGCTTGGATGGAAAGGAAGAACAGAAGGTATAAAAAGATGGAGTTCAGTCACAGATTCTCAGAGGTGAGGGAAATGAGAGCACAAGAATGGTTGCACTAGGTTAGACCAAAAAGTACAGTATCTTATCATTCTGTCTTTGATAATGACTAAAAGCAGATGCTAAGAGAACAACTTAAAAATCAAGGGTAACAATACTTTCATAAGATACAGGAGCTGCCTTAGCTGTAAATGGTGTATTCATTATTAAAATATGTAGATTTTTCTGAGCTATGTCTTGAATCAACAGAATTTTAGCCCATAGAGAGGTCTCTAATAGGGACTCCGGTGGCACAGGACAGTGTCAGGTGAAGAGCAGCCTCCCACAGATGTCTTTCTATTCATTTGATGCCTGATATTTCTCATATTGGAAAAGATACAGAACTGTTGGCTCTTATTCAGGTCTCTTCAAGACACTAATACTTAAGTGTTGAAATACTTCAGTCTTTTGTTCTTCATATTGGTGGCAGCTTACTTTTTGAAGGTTCTGTCATCTGCCTTGAATACTCTCAATTCTACCCTGAAGTATTTAAAACTGAAAGTTTATTATTTCTTAGATGGATCATTTTTTGGGGTGCAAACATATCTCCTTCTTTCTTCAGCTATTGAATGAATCAGGTTAATGAGAATTCAGATGATACATAATCTTCACTATATACTGGTTCTGACTGTTCTTTTGACTTTCCATAGCTTTATTCAAACATCTTCACCACAGTTTCTCAGCTGTCATTTTCAGTCTGTCTGTGTTCTCAGTTCATCCTCTTCATCTCTTCCGTACATTTCCTTCTTTTTCTCTTTATTGTAGTTCTCAGATATAAAAATCTCTAAAACCAATAAATATGGTACTTATTATTGCCTGTGCTCCAGATTTTTGTTAGTACTGTTTGCTATAGTTATAGAATAGTAAGCTTGTTGGGCTAAAAAATAAATTCTGTTGTGGTTTCTTTGCATCACATACTGGTTTCTGAATTCTGATTTGATCTTCTGACATCCATTGCAATACTGTTGCTGAAGAAGTGAGTTTTTCCTCAAAACAGTTTTAAAAACTTTGCTACAGTATGATTCTAGTGACTATCATTAATGATTTTCTCTCGTTTTTCTTGTGAAAACTGTCTCAGAAAATTTACATCTGTTACAGGAACAGCAGCAATACTGGTACCAGCAGCATCTGCTCAGCCTGCAGCAAAGGGCAAAAGCCCATGCTCAGGGACAGCAGCAGATGAAAAGTCCAGTAGTGAAGGATGAGCAGAGGGCCAAGTCTGAAGAAGGGAAAATAAGTGCTTCAACTCAGCAGTCTGAACCTTCTCCTCTCAATGAATCCCTGCCTCCAGTATCCAAAGAAGATGAATCTTCTCTTACATCCACTGAAACTCAGGTAGGCTTTGTAAAGTGATGCCACTCCATTTGTGTCCTAGATGAGCCAAAACCCCTGGAAAATTAATGCCGTCAAATTCTCGTGTATACTTTGTAACGATAACTAAATGTTGCAAAGCAGTCTTAAAAAAATTTTGCTAAAGCTGCACCAATTAGGAAATACACTTCTTGTCTATAAAATTACATATTCACCCACACGTGCACCAAGCAAGTCTGAGCTGACTCTCCCTCACCCTCTCTACAATGTTGTTGTCTTTGTCTGTGAGAACACCTCATGATATCAAGATCTGGTAGGTACTCAGTAGAGGAATGCTGTGTTTAAGACATTTCTTAATTCCACCCTGGCAGTTTATGAATTCTGCCTCTCCTTCTCTCTGTGTGTTAGAGTTGGTCTGAAAGCCAAGAATTTTGCACAGAGGTCTTTTTTGTCGGTGTGCTCAGTAACAGTTACTGTATAATAGATGGGAGGTCATGATTGATGTTTGAACAATATGTGTTCTACTTTTACAAACAGTGTGCACGTTCCTACAAAGTGGCAAAAATAATGCACTTGGAGTTACTTTACCCATCTTCAAAAACCACTGTTTCTCATTACATGTGCTTGAGTGAAAGATAACAGATTCTCATTAATCTCTTTCCTGTAGGTAGTTTCTTTATGTGTGAATAACCTAATTGCCATCAGCCTAACCTTTAGGTTGGACTGTTCACATTAAGAAAATATGTGTTCACATTAAGAAAAGGTGGGATAAATATCAACCTTCCAGAAGATGTGGGTGGCTGGAACACTGCAATAGAGTGATAAAGTAAGGAACAGTGAGAAGGTTCCTGTAAAATGTGTAGTGACCAAGTGTATTTTTTTTTTTCTGACAGAAACAGCTTTCCTTTATTTATAGTATTTGCCTTTTTTCTGTAGCTCAATATTGAACCTCCTGATGACCCTGAGGAAGATTTGAGATTGCAACAATTGCAAGCAGCAGCAGCTCAATGGCAGCAGCACCCCCATCACCGAGTTGGGTTTCAATATCAGAGAATAATGCAGAAGCATGCTCAGCTGCAGCAGATAGTACAGCAGTATCAACAGATCATGCAACAGCCTCCACACTTAGAGGTGAGACACTAAGGAGGTGGTGTTTGATACACATCCTGGGTGACCCAGCACTCAAAGTCTACTGAAAAATACTTAGTTGAATAATTTGTGGTGGTTGGCTCATTTGTCTAGCTACTTTTTCTGCTTGGGTAGAAGTTTGTGTCCATTTTCCCTACTGTCACTCAACTTCAGAATGAAAAAGGCATTGACAGATGGTGATGAAGCTTCAGTAGGATGAGAATTAAAAGACTTTACACTTCTCGTAAGATTTTTTCAGATGTACCTAGGTAATACAGGAGCAACACAATATTGAATTTACTCAGCTTTGAATGTTTTGCCACTGGAAAAACAATTCAGAAAGGTCAGATAAACAGGTGATTGCACAGAGTAATTTGGAAGCTGCTCTTTTTTACAAAAATAAATATGTACAATGATAAATCTAGATGCCAAAAATAGACAGTAAATGTAATTAAGAAAATCAGTAGCTCACATTATTTTTAACTCAAGTAATCAGTTGAAACCAGTATTGTAACCTTTAAGCCTTTAAGTAGAAGTTGATTACTGTATTAGAGAGTTGAGTCAGCTTTTACTGGGTTGGTAGAGTTCATACATTAAGCATTTCTTTGTAGATTGGGCTGTCTGCCTTTGTTTTTTTTTAAATATCTTTGGGTAAAACTTTAAAATCTCAGGCAAGATCAAGGCATGAATATTATGATGTCCTCACATAATGAAAGACAGAACTCCTTGAAAAAAGCTTCATTTGTGCAAATAAGATCTGGCAAAGGCTTAGAGAAGAATAATTGCAGACAGCTGAGGCAATTCCGAGCAGGCTAACAGCAAAAACTGGAACCTTGAGAAATAGTCACATAGTGTATATATATGAAGACTGATTTGGGCTTCAGGCATTGTTAGGATCCAGTAATAATACCGTTTATACAGATTATATGTTTCTTCAGCTGTCCTGTTGAAGTGTTCTATACACAGATACAGTATATGGTTGTAAAATACATTCATTTTCACGATGTCTTCAGATGTCTCTGTTGGTGTTTGCTTTTGTTTCAGTGTAGTTCTTCAGGCTTGTGGCCAAGTCATCTGAAATTGTGCTATTACTAGTGATACTGAAATACATGGCTCTGAGAGTAACTGACTGTCTAAGGTGTTTTGAACCTATTCTTGTCCTCTCATTGCAGACAATGTCAGTGGACATGCAGCTGCGACATTATGAGGCACAGCAAAAACAGTTCCAGCAGCTTCATAAAGATTGGGAGCGATCAATGAACCAGCAGTGGCAACATCAGCTTCAAACCTACCCTCATAAAGACCAGCTTCAAGAGTATGAGAAACAGTGGAAAGCATGGGATGAACAGATGAAAGTCACTCAGTCACATCTGCAGGAAAAAGTGACCTCACTCCAAAATCTGAAGAATCAATATCCTGCAAATGTTTCGCTGCCACCTCCATTTATTCCATATTCTCAAACTGGTCAAGGTGGCATTCCTATTATGCCTCCAACATTACCTTCAACTACACCTCCACTGGTCCCCCCGCCTCTCTCTTCTGTTTCTCAGTTATCCAATTCCTCTGTCCCTTCAGGATCCAGTTCTCAAAGCAGTCAAGCTACTGAAACACCAAGGCCAGCTCTTCTTCCCACCCCTGGTACCTATTCATCAAAAATAGCTAGTTCAACTAGCTATTCACCTTACCATTCTCAAGTAGGTTCATCCTTTGGCTCATCTGACCACGGAAAATCTCAAGGTCATCTTAGTAAACAAACTGTAAATATTTCATCTGAAAATCAGTGTGGGGAACTGAAAGGCACATCTGCTGTGTCTTCAACACACACGCCTATTGTGCAGGATAAACCAGTGAGGTCAGGTGGATTGCTTCCAGATCCTCCCAGATCTGCACGTTTTGAAGGCCCTAGAGGCCCTAGGTAAGAATGTTTTTGTTGACTTACATATAATCCAGGCTACAAGATTTTCAATGATTTATTAAGAAATTAAATACATATCTTATTCTCAGATCTTTCTGAGGTTGTATGAAGTATGTATTTGTTCAGTGGAGGTTTTGTTTTTAATATATGTACACCATATTCTCTGTATTTATATTTTTAAAGCAAAGATATATAGATGTCTTTCACCTGAGCATAATCTGGAGTAGATTGCTTTTGTTTTTTGGTTCTTTTTGGTAGAGTGCTTGGGGATGCTGCCTCTTTTCATTCACAGAGACACAATGCTGCTTTGAAAATAGGAAAGCTGTTGTAAATATTTGATACGTCTTTGTTGATTTTATACCTGTTATATAATTTAATCCAAGATACTGGTTTTTGAATATTTTTCTTTGATACGTGATATCAGGGTGCAAAAACATCTGTTCTATCTGCTCATTAGTTAGAGTTGGGTTGGTATGATGTCTGCAGAATTAAAGGACAGTGGTATTCTCTTTACTTGTTTCTATCCGTGCATACACTGCTAGACTTTACAATAATATCTTCATGGTTATTTCTCTTTGCTTCCAAAGTGATCGATCATTAATAATAATTTGTGAATTGCTAAGAATGTACATGAACTTTATATGAATGAATAATTTTCTACCTCCTGATATTTTTTTAAAAAATTATGTGTTCCTGGGGATTTGTTGGATGTACAATGCTGAACAGACTGTTTTCATGAATTGCTAGTGCATGTCTTTAATGTATTTTGGTTTAGAGCTCAGTGATATGCAATTATAGGTACAGGTTTCTGGGCTGCGAGCTGTTTCATGTCCAGCTTTTCATCCACCAGCACCCCCAAGTCCTTCTTGGCAGGGCTGCTCTCGATTCCATCACCGCCCAGCCTATATTGAGGAGTGCCCTGATCCAGGTGCAGGACCTTGTACTTGGCCACATGAGGTTCCCATGGGCCTACTTCTCAAACTTTTCTAGGCACCTCTAGATGGCATCCTGTCCATGAGGTATGTCACCCACACCACCCAGCTTGGTGTCCTCTGCAAACTTGGTGAAGGTGCACTCAATGCTACTATGTCATTGATGAAGATACGAAACCAGGCTCATCCCAGTCATCTGAGGGACACCACTTGTCACTCATCACCATCTGGACATTGAGCCATTGTCCCCTATCCTCTAGATGTGACCACCCAGCCAGTTCCTTGTCCAGGAAATAGTCCCATCCATCAAATCATCTCTCTCCACTTTAGAAAGAAGGATGTTGTGGAGGTGCATGTCAAAGGCCTTAAAGAAGTCCAGATAGATGACATCCATAGCTCTTCCTTTATCCACTCCATCATAGAAGGCCACTAGGTGGGTCATGCAGGACTTGCCCTTGATGAAGCCATGCTGGTTGTCTCTAACGACCTCCCTGTCCTCCATGTACCTTAGCATAGCTTCTGGGATGATCTTCCCAGGCACAGAGGTGAGACTCGCAGATCAGTAGTTTCCAGGGTCCTTCATTTTACCCTTTTTTAAAATAGATGCAGTGTTTTCCTTTTCCCAGTCACTAGGTACTTCACCTGACTGTCCATTTTCGAGATATCATAGAGAGTGGCTTGGCAAGTACGGTAGCAAATTTCCTGAGTATTCTGGGATGTATCTCAGCTGGTCCCGTAGACTTACGTATATTCAGGTTCTTCAGGTCATCATGAACCTGATCTTCTCTTATCATGGGAGTGACTTTGCACCCCTAGTCCCTGTCTTGCAGTTTATCCACTCAGGAGGCATAGGGTTGTCAGTGAAGACTGAGGCAAAAATGTTGTTGAGTATCCAAGTCTTTTCCTTGTGCATTGTTACCAGTTTGCCAGTCGTGTTTGTCCAAGGGGGACCCTTTCTTTGACCTTTCTTTTCTGGCTGACGTACCTATAGAGGCCCTTCTTGGAATACTTTGCATCCCTTGCAAAATTCGACTTCAGCCATGCTTTGGCCTTCCTGACCCATCCAGTGATGTACAGCTGTGAATCCCAAACATCTAAGCAACTTGACTTTAGACATGAGTTCTCTATTTTGTGTAAAATTAAGCTATAGGATTTTAATATGACACGTTCATTTGAATAAAATTTGTGTTGTGTCATCTGTAGATTTGATGGACCTCGAGGAAGAGGTTATGACAAATTTGAAGGCCCAAGACAGAGAGGACCTCGTTTTGAATCCCAGCGCTCAGAAGGATACAGGTCACGTTTTGACCGACAGAATACAGATGGACAGTCTTCAAGTAGATGGGGCTCTATCCCACGAGGACCAGCAGGACAATTTTATACAACAAATGCATCACATGGACACGGTTCCCGACCTGGTGGTCCACGGTGGATGGGGCCTAGGCCTCATTTGGGACAGCAGCAGCAGCAGCAGGCACAGACAGACTCACAGTCAGAAAGCAAAGAATCTTTTACAGACACAGCCGGTGAGCAGCAGTCTGTAACCGGAACAGAGTCTACTCCTGACACACAGAGTGCAGGTCCCATTGAGCCAAATGAGGACCTGACAGACACTCAACAGGAACCATCCAAACCTGAAGTCAAAGAACCTAGTTCAGACCCTCCTAAAAAATGGACATGGAGTTCACATGATCCCAGCCAGCAAGTCGAAGAGTCCAAAGCACCCACCCCGCCTATTCAGAACCAGAATACAGTAGCCCCTGTAACAGGAAATCAGGATTTGGATTCATCAGATGGTCAGTTGGCTGCCTCAGATAGCACCCAGGGCCTACCTGGACCGGAAAGCAGAGGAAAAGGGCCATTTATGCATGAAGATAGAGGAAAGGGACCAGGAAGCAGAGGAAGGGGCCGTGGCAGAGGGCAGGGGGATGGCCGTGGCTGGGGAATGAACCGTGGCCGGGGAATGGGAAGGATGGATGGTGGCCGAGGAATGGGAAGGATGGACGGTGGTTGGGGAATGGGCAGGATGGATGATGGCCATGGTCGGGGAATGGGCAGGATGGATGAGGGCCGTGGCAGAGGATATGTATACAGAGGCAGAGGGCAGGCTAGGCAGGCATCCATCCGAGGCAGGGGAATGTTCAGGAGGGCAGGCAGCAGGGAGAGGATACCAGATAGACGGTCAGGCAGCAGGGAGAGGATGCCAGATGGACAGTCAGGCAACCGAGAGAGGGGCCTGGGTGGACGGTCAGATAGCCATGAGAGGGTATTCTCTAACCGAGACAGAGAGCTTCCTGGACGGCCAAGCAGCTGGGATAGGGGACGGGCCGGAAGCCGGGAGAGAGGCCCAGTCAGACGGGCCTGTAGTCGGGAAAGAGAGCCCATGCGAGGGACAGGTAGCCGGGAGAGGGAGCCCATGCGGCGGGCAGGTAGCCGGGAGAGGGTCCCTGTCAGGCGGGCAGGTAGCCGGGAGAGGGTCCCCATCAGGCGGGCAGGTAGCCGTGAAAGGGACCTGGTCAGGCGGGCAGGTAGCCGGGAGAGGTGTCCCATCAGGAGGGGAGATAGCCATGAGAGGGAAGCAGGAAGATCTGAAACAGGCAGTATGGGTAAACCCATTCACCTAGGAGATGACCCTGACAAATTGCCTCCATACCATCGAGATGAAACGTTCAGGGGTTCCTGGGGTCATGAAGATGATACAATGCAGGAGGAATTTCCTTTAGATAGTCAAAATGACCTGTCTTTGGAGCATGAGCAATTGGATAACTGGGAAAGAGAACAGTACTGGAGAGATCACAACTCTGATTATCAGGATGATTCCGTAGATACGTATGACAGAGATGACAGGTTGCAGTCCCACCATTCAATGCCTCCATTGTCTCCCTTACCACCACTACCTCCTTTATCATCTGATCATGACAGACGAGATTCATGGTGGGATGACTGGAAAGGGCCAAGAGAAAGGGAACTAGAGAGAGATTTAGATAGACCTGGAAGATCCTCAGATATTTATGATCAAGATTTAGACAGAGAATGGGATAGAGACTGGGACATGAGACCTATGGATGATAGAGAAATGGGGAATCGTGACCTGGATATCCCCCCTCTACCACCATTACCACCCCTTCCACCTCTGGACAGGTATCGTGAAGACAGGTGGAGGGATGATAGGAACAGAGATCATTATGACAGAGATCTCCGAGACAGAGGGGAGCTTAGGATTCGAGAATATCCAGAGAGATACGACACATGGCGGGAGAAGCAAGACTACCTTCCCGAAAGGACTGACTGGGAGAGGGAACGGTTGTCAGATAGGTGGTATCCAGATGATGGAGAGAGACTGCGGTCTTTGGATGACCGCTCAGATTCATCCCTTCCTCCACCTTCACATTCCTCTGATATGCTGGGAGCAGATTCAAACCTGGACTCTGACCAGTCCTTGGGAGGAGTGATGGTCCTAAGCCAAAGACAGCATGAGATAATTCTGAAGGCTGCCCAGGAGCTCAAAATGCTTCGGTGAGTTGCCTGGTTCTGTGATTTTGAATAGGAATCCCATTCTGTGGGATCCATTTGAATCAGCGCAGTAATGGCTTCATTTCTTTTACCCACAACATGATAGTAGGAGCTCATGTGGAGCAAGTTATTTGGAGTACCTTCATCACAGCTTTTGTAGATGGACTTTTTTCCTGAAGTAGATGATTGTCCCTTTCCCCATGAATATGGTATTCCTTGTATGTTACTTTCCAGGCAAAGATCTGTCCCATCACCTGACCAATCTTTTTGTTAGCCTCAAATAAAACTTGTGGATAACTGCTTTTCAATTCTTTCTGATGATATCAGATGAGCTTAGTGATAACTGCTTTTTAGTACTTACCCCTCCAGACCTACATTAATGTGCTTCTTAAGACCTATTTAATTTTTCTAAAATGGATATTTCTCACTTTTAAGTAAAAGCGTAAATGGGTTTGTTTGTTTTACAGAGCTTCCTCATTTGAAACCAAATATTGTCAGTGAACGATTTTGTCAAATTTGGTTGATATTAAGTTCTGGGAATAAGCATAAAATGAGTGATATTAGGAGGCTATTAATGCAAGAATAAATCAAGACTGCATTTTTAGAAAGCAGATACTAGACTTCCTAAGGCTTTAATAAGTGTTTATTATTAAATTAGTAATAGGAGAGACTGGGATGTATGAAGCTCTCAACAACCTTATCTAGTGAAATTGGGGCTGGAACTAGATGATTTTTGAGGTCCCTTCCAACCTAGTCCATTTCATTATAGAGATGTTTTGCACTTCTCTTCAGGTTGTTTTGTTTTCAGATTCATAAGATGGCTGAGCACATGTCCCATATGGAAGATCTTTGTTGCACGCCAAAATGCAAGCACAATAATTTTTTTTAAAGGGAGAACTTTTATTCTGAATAATTTAATAATTTAGTGCAATTAGATTAATTCAACAGTGTTATTAACTCTGAAATCTGTGTTATAAAGTAGTATCTGCTAAAAGTTTGGAGTAATAGATTATTTTCAGCTTCCTGACTTTTCTATTGTCTCAGTTGCTAGTCATATGTTTTGCTATTTATTGTGACTAGCTGCAAGCCAGTCACTTAGGCTAAGGACCGTAGTTTGGGAATCACTACAAGAGTGATTTATTAGGGCTGAAATATTTTAAACATAGTCACTAAAATGTTTTATGCAATAAGTAATTACATATATTTGTTTCAAAGCCAGTAAAAAGGGGAAGTAAAAAACATGATACTGATTTTTAATAGAATATGAGGGTAATCTTAAAATTAGATACACTGGTACTTCTCATTATGTTCTTGTAGGCAGGTGATTTAAGTCTTAACAGTAGAAACAACTTTATGGAGATTACTTATGGAGTAATTTTTATGGAGATTGTTTGAGCCAAGAGTTATACCAGTAGTGTAGTACATAACTGCTTTCATCTCCAAAACTAAAGCTTTCATCTGGCTTTACTTTTATTGTGTGTAAAACTGCATATTCTCAGCTACAGACTGTTCTGTATGTGTGATCTAGTGTAGTGCTCAGTTTATTCTTTGTATTTACAAAGCATTGAGGATTCTTTTCTTTGGGTCAAGTTGCCCTTCTGCTGAACACTGAACAGATGCATTGCTAGTTAGGGTGGTTTCTGTTATGTCTTGTTACAGAGGGATCCTGTTCTTAGTTATTTAGAAACCTCAGTTCACAGAGTTACTAGCAATTGAAATACCCAGATTGAAGAGAACTAAAAAAATTGAAGGGAAAGGAAGTCCTATTCACTTGAACTTTGTAATCCAGTGATTGTAGTACTCACAGCTGAACCTGGTCTCTGCTCTGTAGGCTATGTATTGGTTGTGTATTAAATAGCATTTTGATATATAAATGAAAGAAGAAAAAAGTTAGACTCACTGTTTGGTTTTTATATATTGGAATCTCTTGTGCTTTGTTGGCCTCAATCCTGTTACCATGTGAACCAGAGTAATTTACTGAGAGTACTCATGTATGCATTTCCAAGGGGTTTCTTGCTTTCAGAAGGTATTGACAGAACCTAAAAATCCAGCTTTACTGTTCAAATGGAGTGGTTCTGGCAAAGCACAAAAGCATAACTGTATGCACTAAATGCCTCCATGGTTAGGTGGATGTGAAACAGATTTCTGAATCACAGCATTTGCCCATGTAAAGGCTGCTGTGTCCTTTTCTTCTTTTGGCTTAGTCTCTGATGCAAGTGTAATATGTGTTTTCACCACAAGCATTGATTTCTTTAATTTTTCATTTAAGCTATAGACTGATAACACTTTCTTATGATGCATGTACAGAGAGCAAAAAGAGCAGCTACAGAAGTTGAAGGAGTTCAAACCTGACATTTCCACCCAGGACTCTTCAAGACCACAGAACACAAGCACAAGGCCAGGTGCCTTTCAGGTAAATTCATCTTACACTGATATAACGTGTTGGTAGTAATTACTATTTATGTATGTTGAACCAGTTCTACACACTGATGGTCAAATTTCTCTGTGGCATGCCTCCCCAGCAATCCTTAACAACCTTAGCCATCTTCTGTTGAGGCAAAACAACTTCTCATTTTCTTTAAATTTTCCAAAGCGTTTTCTGCTCAGTGAGTCCACCATGTCTTCTGAGTATGACCCATCAGTGATGGTTGCACATGGGGTTCAGCAGTCTAGATTGCTGTGGGACAATGTGCAAAAAGAGGTGAACTCTTCCGAAACAAGGGATGTAAGGTTCACAAGAAGACCCTACTTTTCCTTGCTTAAGTTCTTTCAGTTTGCTTTTCCTACTTCAGGAGCTGTGTCCTCTTTGAAGCTGGAAAAATTTGAGGATACTTCAATCAGAAATTGAGATATTTCAGTGTAGTATGAGCATTAGCCCATGTTTGCTGTTTTTATTGGGAATTCTTATTAACTTCTAGAATTTCATAAAGTGCATGGAAACTCATGTTTGCATACCTCCATCCTGTTGTGATGCAACTACTCTTCTACTGCTTAATTTCCTGTGTAGTTCTGGGAACTCTTCTCAGATGCTTATATTTGGGTTTTTTGATAATTCAGAAATCAACTGGACTTCTGCAGTTGTGCTAACTCATGTTTATAAATCCTTCCTAGAATGAGTAAACAGTTTTGTTAAATGTGTATTGGAGGAGATATCTGAGTTGATGCACAGTCTTTATTCTTCATCACACCTTAACCCCAAAGTTACTCGCTCCCAGTAAATTTAGCCGTAAGATCTTCTGGGTCTGGCATTTAGCCAGACCAACCTTTTTTTGTCCCTCCATCCAGAGACATGTTATGCAGTGAATGAGGCACTGCAAGTTTTCTTTTTGCCTAGGTGACCTCCTCCTTGTTTATAGTGTCTGTAAAGTGAAATAATGGAACTGATTTGCTACCAGGAACTGCAGGTATGTTGATGCCTTTAGGAAGTTACTTTACTCAGTTTTGATATTTTGTATCTCAGACTGCTTCACTCATCTGCCTAGAGGTTTTCAAACAACTTTTGTCTTTCTTGGAATTCCTGCCTCCAGATATTTCTGCTGTGACTTTGAGCTGTTATTACAGAGCTCACCTTTGTATCTACAATCATTCTGCAATTTTTATTGCATTTTGCTAGTAAGGCTGCCTGTAGCTTGGCATCTGCTGTGATGCTGAAATGCGTGGGGTTTCTTGTGCATATTTGGTTCATGAAGGATTTGGTTTGGTTTGGTTTTTCACTAAGCAAGATCTTCCAATTTCTTATGCTCTTCTGATACTGATTTTGTGAAGGATTTTCCAGCTATTTCTGCTCTCTGTGAATTTTTCCAGTGTTTTCCACAAAGAAACTGGCCTTATCCATCCTTTTGCATCTCACGAAGCTGCCCTACTTTCAGATTTTTAGCCTTCACACAGACAGCAGGAATCTTTGCAGACAGCAGGAGTTTTTGGGAATAAAACAGTAGACACTTTTGAAATGAGATAGGTCTACTGGAGCTAAAATTAGTAAGGTTATTTTGAAGAAGAAAATAAAGTGTTTAAGCCTTCACATAGTGAGCAAACACAAAATTAAATCAGGCCACCAGTTTCTAAAAATAGTCCTCCTACCTGTAGCACCTTGATGGAGGTACTAGAAAATGTGTATGGTTTGACTCTCAAATGCCATTGCACTTTCTGAGGATGAGAGAAGGTTAGTTTACAGATCTACATTAAAAGTGCTTTCTGCATCTAGGTCTCTTCTCAGCTATCTTCAGAGGCACCAGTAGAAGCCCAAGCTATTAAACCTTCTCCTGCTGTTATTATAAAGCCTCCCGTGTTGTTCAGACAGCCCACCCCTGTGACAAGACCAAGTGCCCCACTGGCAAGGCCTACTACACCTATGACAAGGCCACATGCTCCAGTTTCTACTCCAACTACAACCCCAAGTCATGGTCAATCTTTAAAACCATCACCTTCTGCTGTGGAACAGGAACGCTGGGATGAGGACTCTTTCCATGGACTGTGGGACACAAATGAGGATAAAGGTGCAAACATGGAGTACGAGTTGTGTAAACAGGAGTCAATGATGCCTCCACCTGTCTCCTCGCCTGTGAAAGTACCTGCTGTCCACACCTCCATTCCATCAGTACCAGTGTCCCTTTCTCCAGTTATTCCACCAGTTCCTAAAGCACCCATCATTCAGCAAACGGTGGATTATGGTCACGGGCGAGGTGGGTATTACAGTTTATTTGATATGTATTAAAGAACTAAGAAGGCCTCCTGACTTTTTTTTAAAGGAGTGTTCAATGCAAAGTATGCATGTTCTGGAGTTGATGTGTAGACTTGTGTACATTAATGATGTAATGCTGAGCAGTGCAGCTATAAGGAGTCTCTAACCTTTAACCAGTTATGACCCTGAGTTTAGTGTTTTTCTTGATGCTTTTGGAAAGAGCTGTTTTGTGTTGGTGAACCGTGTGTATTCCATGGCTGCTATTCCATGAATGGTGTACAGCCATGGGTGCTTCTAATAAACACAAAATGATGTGTTGTATTTAGATTGATACTAATACTGTCCCTTAATCCCTTTGTTGGGGAGTATGGAAATAACTGGGCTAGAAGGTACTTCAGATGGTTGCAGTTCTTAGGTGTGACTTAGTGATTTAAAGCAGAATGTGGCTGGTGTTTGCTTTATTTATATACTGCATAATGAGTGTGACATACCCTCTAGCCAGAGAGGGAGACATAGTCTGGTTCTAAAGGGCATTCACCCTGTACAGGTGTTTAACACATAAGTAGTAGAGGACTCTGTTTTTTTCTATTGAGCTTACCAAAGCTAAAATTCAACACCAATTTTTAAATAGACTGGATCTCCCTCCTTTAACAGGAATGAAATCATTTCATAAAGAAGTTCTTAAATTGTGCATTGTCATTTAAAGACTGTTTTTTCTCACTCTAAAGTACCATAACGGTTCTGGAAGCCATATCTCTTCCATTAAGTAGATGTTTTACTAGAAGCTGTTAAAAAAAATGTCATTGTTGTGAGACTTTCAGTTACTATTCTTGACATGACTGGTGTTCTGTGAGTTATTGAAACTTACAGAGCATTTTAATGTTTATAATTTTCCGATGTTGCATGCTACCTGAACTCACCTGAAAACCTAGAAGTCCCATTGTTAAGGTGGAGTGGTTTATGTGCACACACACAAACACACTTCAGGCTTTAAAAACCATGGTGCTGTTTATTTATATAAAGCCCTTTTTGCATTATCCATTGAAAGAAATTCTGGTAGTTTGTTCTAGTCACTTTTAATGTCATTGAGTGATTACTTTTCATGAAGAGGAAGAAAAATGCAAGATGTGTTTTAAAACCTTAAATTTTTTTTTTGTTTATTTTCAACCAGATATAACCACCAGTAAAGTTGAACAGATTCCATATGGGGAGAGGGTAACCCTCCGTCCAGAACCTCTACCAGACAGACAAACATTTCAAAAAGGTAGGAGGTGCTTGGCTAGCTTTCAAACAGTTAGTTAGCTCTTAAGAAAAGTTGTAAGACACTAAAAGCTTGTTCAAACTAAGTAACTCCTGTTTAAACTACAACCACTTTATTTTCTTCAGAGGTCCATATGAATAACAGTTTATATTTTCAAGAGGAGTGCTGCAGTCAATAACCTAGCCACTTCTAAAATTCAGTTTTGTAGTTTTAAGTAGGATTTGCACGGTATGGTTGTCTGTTACAGTTTGGAAAAGAGTGTCTGATTAAGTCCATCCTAGCTCACACATCATATACTTTTCTTGCACTCTTGCCTGTTGCCTTCTTTTACCAAAATAGTAGTTTATATTTCCATGGGTTTCTCCCTTCAGAGCATCCAGGTCGCTACAACAGAGAAAGAGATCGTGAGCCTTATTTTGAGCGTCAAGGTAATTCCAACACAGATCATCGGGATTTCAAGAGAGAGCGGGAATTGCACAGAGACCGTGGTTCTGTGGACTATGAGCGAGAGAGATTTGAAAAAGAGCGGCATCCCCGAGATGATAGGTACGTGATTTTGGAACACTGTGAAAATCAGTGCAGTTGAGGCTGTATTGTGTATCAGGCTGTCCATTTTGCCTGTGAGGTACGTGTTCCTTTCACTCTGGAATCCATAGTGGAAATTCACAAAAATACACAAAGTACACAAAACACTCCTTTGGCAGGGTTCTTCCTACTACACCTTCAAGAACTCAGTCTTACCGGGACAAGAAGGACCATCCATCCTCCAGGCGAGGTGGCTTTGAAAGACCACCATATGAACGAAAAACAGATCGTCCAGCATATGATCATGGGCCTTCCATGTTTGGAGGTACAGTTTCTCAATCTTGAAGTCATGCTAGAATATTATGAAAAATAATGGACTTGCAGAGGTGAAGATTAATTGATTTGCAGTATTTGTTCAGAATATATAATTCAGGAAAATTTCTTTAGGTGGTGGCATTTAGTTTTGTTTCTCAGTGGTGATGAGATGATTAAAACAGTTATATACTCTGCTAGAAACTGTCTTTGATTGTAATAGATTTAAGATTAGAAATTTTAATTATTTTGAGGACATATCTGTGAATTTAACTGAAAATGATGAAGGTCTGTTTAAATCAGCTCAGCTGGGTATGAACATCTTAATTTTTTTATTTTACTGAACTAAGAAAATTCTTCTGTCCAAACACTGGAATTTGAAGGTGATCGTAGAAATTACCCTGAGGAAAGGATTCCTATTTCTGCTCCATCAATGCCTCGTCAGCCACCACCTGCTCCACGAGTAGAAAGGAAGCCAGAATCTAAAAACGTAGATGATATTTTAAAGCCACCAGGACGGGATAGCAGGCCAGAGAGGGTGAGTATGCATTGTGAAAGCAACAATTGCTTTCTACGAGAGCTTTATTCAGATTAAATGCTGCTGGATGTAGTATGTTTGGAGTAAGTGTACATTTGAGGAAGCTCTGGAAATTAGCTTGGTTCCTTTGCAAATGCCTAGAGTGTTGTAGCATAGCTATTAGGAGTCCACAGGAGACCTAAACCTCCTGGGAATGCTCAAAGCAAATTTGTGTGTAATTTTAAGATATTTTCGCCTCTTCTGAGGTCTTCACTTTGGTTTTTGATGTATCAGGGGAAAGATGTGTCTTTACACAGGGATTTGACAATGCACCCTGTTATATAAGAAAGAGCACAATTTAGGCTATAAAGAATTTAGATAAGTTTCATTCAGTTGAATGAGAGAAATTAGTGAAACTGAACCAGATCTATAACATGCAGCCTAAACTGCTGAGATGGTTTAACACAAAAATCTCTGAATTATGTGGAACTACTACCGTTTCTCACAGCCTGGTTTCTAAAACAAACAGTGAGTGCTTGATGCAAAAGTGTGAGCCCACAGCACATAATTGTCTAGAAGAAAATCTTTGCAAAAGAGAATCTGTAAAATGTAGTACAGTATCATATCTTACATGATCTTTTTCAGATTGTGATCATCATGAGAGGGTTACCTGGCAGTGGAAAGACACATGTAGCAAAACTCATCAGGGTATGTAAACAGGCATTCACTGTGTAGTGCTGTTTGTCTTGTATCTTGTTGCTTCCTCTGCTGTTCGCTTTGTTTGCCTGGAATTCAAGTCTGTTGTTATTTCATTTTCTGTGTCTTCATGTGTTGTATGAATCTCCACCACTATTAGCAAGCAGGAGGGATACTACTCTCTTCTTGTTTTGAGTATTGAGCAGGGAACTGCTGTTGACCAAAAGTATTTTGAAATTCCTGTGTAGCAGAATGGAATTTTTACATCCAAAGTATATGCTTGCTTTTTGCTTTCTTCCCAGGATAAGGAAGTAGAATGTGGAGGACCTGCACCAAGAGTGCTCAGTCTGGATGACTACTTTATCACTGAAGTGGAGAAAGAGGAGAGAGACCCAGATACAGGGAAAAAAGTTAAAAAGAAGGTAGTCTTAATTCTGGTGCTTTATTTATTTGACAAAGAAACAAGACATTCCAGAAAAACAGTGGCAATCAGAGTTCTGGTCTGTGGATTTGGAAGAGTGCAGAGGTCTCTGGGCTGTTTTTCAAAGCAAGACAATATAACTTAGGGTGGTATGAGCAAATTCTTAAAAACTGACCTGAAGGGTGTTTTTCTCACACCAGTGTACTTTGTGGTCATGACATCCAGGTGTTGAATATTAGCCATTTTGTAGATGTCCTCTTTCTTAATGCTTTTGTCCTTGGTAAAGGTGATGGAGTACGAATATGAGGCTGATATGGAGGAGACCTATCGTACCAGCATGTTTAAAACTTTCAAAAAGACCTTGGATGACGGCTTCTTTCCCTTCATTATCCTTGATGCCATCAATGATAGAGTGCGACACTTTGAACAGTTTTGGAGTGCTGCAAAAACAAAGGGGTTTGAGGTAATGGAGCCTAAATAGCATTTGAACTTGCTAAAAGCCATATGCTGATGTTTCTAAACTTTTGAATGGAAAGTGTTTCCCACATTCAGGAAAAATGCTGTGATGTACAGTTACAAGTTTACCTTTCTTAAAGTGTACAACTGCAGAGTGTATGACAAGGTAGAAAAAGAGCTCTAAAAATTGGTTTACAATATTCAATATTGTCTTTCTTTTTCTAGGTCTACTTAGCTGAAATGAGTGCTGATAACCAGACATGTTCCAAAAGGAATATTCATGGGCGCAAGCTAAAGGATATCAGCAGGGTAACTGTATACATCTGGAGTCATATTGTGCTTTTGGGCCCTCTGTTTCTTGAAAACTATAGACTACATGATGCTTACACTTTTCCTCTAAGAAGTACTGGTAGTTATTTCATGGGATTGATTAAAATTACTGAAGTACTGTTACATCTTGTTAGCAATCAGAAACCAAATTTTCCAAGGAATCTGTTAGATTTTTAGAGATGCTTCATTTTTGTGTGTGTTTTGTTAGATGTCTGATCACTGGGAGGCAGCACCACGCCATATGATGCGCCTGGACATTCGTTCTTTGTTGCAGGATGCTGCTATAGAAGAGGTGAGAGTCTCTGTGCTTGTTAAAACTACAGATTAGGTCAATGTGACTATACTGAAAATATGAAGCAGACAAAGATGCGATCACAGCAAGGTAGTTGTAAGCAAGGCACTTTAGAAAGCCAGAATCACTAAGTCAGGAAAGTGTATTTCATTATTCTTATGAATTGCCCCAAACATGAAGGTACTTTTTTACCTTTTATTACCTTTTTGAAGCTCAGACTTAGGCATCTTTGAACAAGAGTTGAAGTCACTTTGCTCTTAGCAACTGTTGAATACCAATTAAGATGGTTAAAGAAAATCTTTGCACTCTTACTTGAAACTCATCACTTTTTTACAGGTTACTGAATTATTTAGATCATATTTTGAGAAAGTAGTTCAAGAAAATAAGGAAATAAACAAATTTGAACTCAGTCCTTGTTTTGAGAAATACAGATGTTTAGCAGAGGATGAAGAAATAAATAACAGAATGTAGCAGAAGGTTACAATTGCCTTTTTACTTCATTTACAGTTTGCCATGACATGCATCTTTGGTGTGTCAGCTTACTGTATTGTTGAATTCTTCTTGGCAGTTGTGTCAGGAGCTCTGGGCATAAATTAGTGTGTTGGTTGTGTGGTCTCTGTAAATGAACCATAGCTGTTGCTGTCAGAACAGCTCTTGGCATGGCCACAGAAACTGATGAACTGCTGAAGTTGACAGAGGGTCTTTACAGTTTGTCATGATATTAGCAGGTTATTATTAAATTTCCAAATTATTTGTACTGGAAAATAGTAATCTTTGAGGACAGCAAAAAGTGCCACCCTAAAGTAGGCTCAGAGAACAGCATATTGGGATTTACAAGGTTTTTCAAATTATGTAAACAACTGCACATACTTGGAGAGTTTTATGTATTCCAGAGTATATGCATGAGTCCCCAGTACAGCTGTGGAGCCCAAAAAGTGTTTCATTAGATGAGCAGAGTTAGATGTATGTCTTCAAGTGTACTTGTAATTTGTTATGCTGAGCTCTGTGGTTACTGTTATTCTTTACTGTGATTTTTAAATATATAAAAGATAAAGGCTCAGTAGAGATGTTCTATGCAGGCAGCCATTCCAGCTATATATAAATGGCAAGTTTAAGAACTTTTTCTGAGATTGCAAGTTTTGAAATGTGATTATATGGGAAGCGAGAGAAGTATCTTGCTATCTTACAGATAGTGGTAACACAAGGAATGCATGTGAAGGAAGGGAATGAACAATTTCTGCTTTTTCCCCAGAAAATCTTTGCAAAGAATATTGTTTGTCACTCTGTTGCTAGGAGTGGACATGCTTCTGAGGAAAGCCAGAATGGACACAGTATTCATATATATTGTATCATCATACTTTCAAAGATGAATCCTGTATTTGAATTTGGACATCTTTACTTACTCTGTTAAAAATAAAAATAATTAAAAGCCAGACAGTGCCTTTTAAGTCTGTGCATGTGCTTTGGTACAGGTGGAGATGGAGGATTTTGATGCAAATATTGAAGACCAGAAGGAAGAAGTCAAGAAGGACACAGCAGAGGAGGAAGAAAGTGAACTGGTAGGAGACACATCAGCCATCCTTAAAAAATTGTTCATTAATGTGTTTGAGGGAGAATCTCAGTCTTACAAGTGCCAACCCATTGCTGTTCTTAGCAGTGCAATCTTAACACACGTTTCTAGTAGTTTTTACTTAAACATTTCTAGGAGAACTTTAATGATAAATCGTATTATTTCTTACTAATTTATTTCTAAGAATACGTGAGTATGTGCTACAAACAGTATTATCAGAGGAGCATGGCAACATGCCTCTTAGAGACATTTTAAATTGCAGTACATAGTAGTGCTGTCTTCCAGATAATCTAAGAATTACATGAAGTGGAGGGAGGGGATCAATGGGAAAAGATTAATTTAGCTTATTTCCTTTCACGTGTCTAAAGAACTCTCCTCAACTGTCGCAGTATATGACAACAGTTATGAAGACTGCTTTTTCTGCCATGGTTGGCTGACTTTGTTTGTCAGGTGGTATTTCCAACATGAGGCATTAGGTCTCTTGGATAAATAAAGGTTATAGAATTGCCCTGAGGGCTGGCTTTTTTAGGTATGTATTCAAAAGGCTTCCTGCTGTAACTTCTTGGTATGTGTTGGAGCTGCAACTGGTCCATGCTTGATGAGTTGAACGTCTCAAATCTTGGTTCCCACAACCAAGCAGTTAAAGTTCAATAAACAGGAAGTAACCCAAAATGTCCGAGTTGAGCAAAGTGTTTTTCCTTGATGGAAATTTACTATTCCTTAGAAGTGGCAGGTCAGAAAGCAGTTGAAATCAGAATTTAAAAAAAGATTAGAAAAAATGGATTCTAATAAATGTCTGGTTTTTTTCAACGTGACTCATTTATTCTCTTTACTAAATTATTCTTCGGTGCAGAATATGAGACTGCATAAAGTGTGGTTAGAACATTTCAAAGATGCATCCATGTTTATAAGAATATGGCTGCTAGTCCCATTTCCATGAGCCATAGCTAAAAGAGAAAGTTGTCTTTAGCTTTTGAGACATCTGTGCATAAATTTGTGTGTGTATGTGTGTGTTTATGGGTTCGGGGGAGTGTCCTAATGTACAGCACTTATAACAATAGGCCTTTGAGACAAAGAGAAAGCTTGGTGGTGAAAACTATGCAAATTATTAAATAAAAGTAATCTGCATATAAGAATGTGTTCTATTCAGATTCACAAGATATGAAAAAGAGCAAAGCATTGTCTGCTGTATGTAATCTCTGGAATTCAGTCAGATGGCTAATCTCAGAGAATTATGTCAGACAGAAAGTGGAGCAGGACACTGTATTTGGTATCTCTTGCCTTTTTGAGAGCATTTGATAAGGGTTCTGCAATTCATTTTGCTGCATTTAATCCTATGAGAAAAGGGAGATCTGAAGCTCCTGCCATCTGGCAGATATCCTTGAAATTTCCAACTGTCTTGTACCAAAGGATAAAGTCTGAATCTTTGCTTATCCTGTTTGAGGACCGGGATATTGTATAGGTTCAGCACACAATAGGCTGTTTCACACCATCAAAGTCACTCTTCTTGGTATTATCAACTCCCATAGGATTGTTTGTAGCATTCAGACAATTCTTGTTTTTCTGTGCTTGATGGTATGAATTATTGATACATTTAACTTAGTGTTCTCACCAGTGTATCACACATCACTTTGTTTAATGCAGGCTTTCAGCTGTGGTGTAAACATTCTGAGCAAGCTTTAAAGTGCAACTTGGTTTAAATGTATAAATATATGTATATACATGAAGTTTATTTATTTGTTACGAGGAAACATTGCAGCACAAACTGTTTTGGTTTGCATTAGTTACAGATTTGATTAAAAACAGGAAAATCCAGAGATCAGATAACCTCGAGTCACTGAGATATGCTTGACAGAAAAAAGGTCATTAAAAGCAGTGCTGAACATAATCAAATGCAGTGTGACTCTCTGGAATTTACTGGAATACACTAATTTAGTAACACACAGTGTTAAAAAATACACATATTTTTACCGCAGTGGAAGCAACCTATAAATAAAGCAGGAAAGAAGTTAGTATAATAAAACTGGTTTATGGATTGCTTGTTTTTTCTTGAAATCTTCTAGAGTAGTTCTTTTCCCTCTGTATTAAAAAGCATTCTAAAAAATAATTAAATTCTCACAGGGCTTCTGTTCACTACCTTGAGCTTTTTTGTGTGGTTGCAGAGGAACATAAGTACTTTTATACCAAATCTAAACAGCTGAAATGGGGGTTGCTTAGTAACAATTTACTTGTCAAAGAATATAAAAATAAAAGATAAAAAGAAGCTAACTAATATAAATACCTTCTTGCCAAATTTATTTTCATAATGCTCATTTACAAAGAATAAACTGGCTAAAGATCATTACACATGGTGACGTTATTTGTAGGGAAAAATTGTTTTATAAGAATCACTGCGCTAAGAGTGTTGTTTTAAAATGAAGAGTAATACTTAAATCCTAGTGACTCAGCAGATACTCTCATTTAAAGAAAAAAAAATAGTTTAATTGTGAATTAATCATTCATACATGAATTTAGTATGTCCCTTCAAAAGGAGTAAGTGAAGCTTGTGTGTACTAAATCTGGAAATGCGCTCATAAAAGCTTATGGTAACTTATTAATTTGTGTTTGTAGAGTTTTGAATATGCTTTATGCCTGGAAGTTGTGTTGCAGTGACTTTGCCATCTGGGATAATACAATACAGGAACTGCACACAGTGCCTTTGCTGTCTGTTAGACTTATTCTGGAGTTCTGTGTTTACAGAGGGCAGCACTCTTGTAATGATTCGCAAGGGCTGCTGAAATCACTGAATGGGAATGGATGCAGAAGTTCTGAAATACTGAGTAATTTGTCTCCATCTGATATTGAGAATTGTGCCTTACAAAAAGAAATACCTTGAACTCCCATTGTAATGCTGTTTCCAGTTCAAAAGTGATATGCATGTGTGTCTCTCTCTAATCCTCCGAGCTTCTTTCTGTGTATGATTTAGGGTTACATTCCGAAAAGCAAATGGGAGATGGACACTTCTGAGGCAAAGCTAGGTGGGTATTTATTTTTTCCTGTTTCTTATAGTTGGTATCTAATGATGTTTGCAAGACCTGAATTTTTGTTTTTACTGTGCCTCCTTACAAAGACCAATAAATGCATTGATTTCATACATGTGTCTGAAACTGCAAAAGCGTCTATACAGAAAAGGAATTTATCTTCTGCCAGAGGCAGGAGATGTTACTACTTTCTGATCATCACTGTTTTATATACTCATTAATCGTTGTGCCATATGTTCAAGGAAAGTGCTTTGTCTTCAAATTTTAAAAAAACCCTGTTCTTCATCTTTCTGTGTTAATTATTTTTATATAAGCAAAGAGTCAATTTACATTGCACTGTACTCTTTTTCATATTGCATACCTTTTTTCATCAGTAATTTGCATTCTTGGAGACATGTCTTACAGCTGAACTGTATTGAAGATGTTTCTCACTTTTCAAAATTGACATCTGTGAGGACAAAGTAGTGGCATGCTTTGAAATTGGTTCTGAATGATTTGGTGTCAGTATATCTTTTCAACATCTTAGGCATTGAAAAGTTAAAAGTTCATTATGCTTTGCAGTTCCAGGAGAGCAATAGAATACTTCTTAATAGTATGCAAAATGGACTTTCTAGGAGCAAAAGGGCACAATTTTTGCTGTACTTTTTTTGTTCTCATTAGCCTTGATATTAAGATTCTGTCAAAGTCAAAAGCAACTTTCAGGCAGAAGTGCATGCACCACAGCTATGGTGAAAGGATTATTAATGGAAAGGGGTTTCTGGTCATTATGATCAGTTTTGTTGTGTTTTTTTTAACTGAACAGTAAAAGTTCTAAATTAAGGTTTTATCTAGACAGTCTGCTCAGAACTGCTATTTTTATATCACATCTGTGAGAAGTCACAAATACCTAAAGGGACATAGCATATCTTAATATTTTGAAGTTTGCTTCTTCATGTGTGGAACAGCCCTATGCATCATAACTTTCCAATAATGAAAATCATAACTGCACCATAGAAATAGTGTTAGAAGGTCTGGCTTATGTAAAGCAGCCTTTCACCTTATGCTGTTAAGGGCTTAGCTGTTAACACCATCTCTTCTGCTGCTGTGCTCTCTTTTAAGCCATATAAATAGTTGTGGATGTCAATATATTATATCGATGATGTAGCATTTGCAGTACAAGCAGGGGCACCTTATACTCAATGATTTTGGCATACCAAACAGCTCAGCAGTTAGACAATTAAGTTAGGATTGCTCTGTGGTTTTGTTAGAAGCAATGATTTGTTTAATAATGTAAAATTATTTCTTAAGTTTATGCTAAGAACTGTGTTGCGTTTCCTTCCATAATGTAAACCACATGTTTTTTATATGGTCTCCACTTAAATGTAAAATGGGGAGCAAGCAGTAGAGTCACTTTTATGCTTAAGTTACTTGCAAGGCTGTTGAAATAATCCTTTTACAGGCAAACTTCATTAACAAACTGGATGTTAGCATGCTGCAAGACACAGATCCAGGTGCTGAGAAGGGCTTTCTATTAAATTTGTATTCACAATTTTACTTTTATAACTATGCTCTAGAATCTAGCATCTAGAATCAATATGTAGGACTATAGATGAAAAGAAAATCCTGACAGAACTTAGGTTTTAAAAAAGCCAGGCATTCCTAAGTAACAAATGCAGTTTCTTTGGAAAATTACTGGCAGGACAGACAACTTTTAGCTCAAGGTGTACATTAGAAGCACTTGTAGTTTGTGAGTAAGAATTACTATATTTAGTTCACAATAAGACTTCACTGTAGATGACCAATTATAATTATTTCTGGAAAGGCATGTAAACTGTGGTATGCATTATTTACTCTAAAACTGAGTTATATCCTGGGAGTTGACCTGTCCATTAGGATTATTGTGTTAGTCCCAGAGGGCACACATTTGCAGAATGACATAAGTGCAGACTCCAAAAATGATGGTCTGAGTCTTGTTTTGCTTTTTTTGTTTTCTTTCTGAGTAGATGTTGTTACAGGAAAGTACAGTATGATCTTGCTGATTGTAATAAACCTCAGAAAATGTCTGAAAAGTTTGAGTTCTTGAGCTGCAAACACTGACTTGTGACTATCGCCAAACATATGCCCCAGAGCTCTCACTTTAGTACAGATTTACTTTACTCTTACGTTCCTCTTGAGTATGTGTGTAATTTATCATTTCCTTACATGCTGTGCACAGCACACAATTTTACTCTGAAAGTCTATCCATGGGTCTTCTCAGTGCATAGTGCACACAGGGTCTTTTATCGAAATTTAAAATAATGGACTCTCATTTTTAAAATTTGACAGTAGCGTTAAGTGCAATGCTCTGTTTCAAAGTGCAGCTTAGTGGCAAGCTCTACAAATTTTCAGGAATGGAGCAATGAGCTCTGGTGTAGCTGAAACTTTGATACCACTCTAAAATTTGCTCTAGAATACAAATGGGATTCTACGTAAAACTTTGTGGCTTTTGTATAAGAAGGGGAAAATTTAACTGATGGATTTATTTAGGTTTTGAAGGAGCCAAGTAAATTAGTTACTTTCAGATGTTACTTCAAAAATTCTAAAGGTGAGTTTTTAAATTTTGTGGATTTTCAGAACTGCTGCTGCTTTGTTGTTTTTAAATTTGAAATTATAAAATTATGTTCAGTAGTTTAACACTAAAAAATCATCAGCCATAAATAATCACAAGCACCAGTGTTACAAAATGACACCTTGTCTCAATTTCAGAAAAGAACATTCTGAAATAATCCTTTGTGGCAGGTTTTTGACATTTGTGTAGTGTCTACTGCATGACACATGTACCTTGAACCGCAATAGTACGGATGGAAGCAGACCCCTTTGGAAAAGCAATCCAGCTTCAAACATGGAAGGACATAACATTTTAAAATAAATTCTGTGTAGCAGTAACCAGAAGGGACAGAGGGGAACTTCATATTCAGAACAGCTTCTGAGCTCCTCTGCTGATGTTTGAGCATTACACGTTTCTTGGCGATGTTTTCAGTTGTTTGGTGTGCGGCAGGGAGTGGGAGACTTAACTTTCTTTCATATTGGTAACGAGGTGAGCTTGCATCATAGCTTCCTTCCAACAGGAGTATGTCTGTCTACAGGTATTTGCCAACAGAGAGCTCCTCAATTCTCACTTCTTCATGTTCTTAAATGGTCCTCAATGAGTTTGTTGATCTCCTGTTCAATGTTATTTTTTTCTGGAAATGCTTAATGCCACAAATGATCTACACTGGTTGAACGTAATACTGAGAAAAAGTACGTTATGTGCTGGAGTAACAGAGGAATATTGTATAAATCAATTTTGTCTTCTAGAGGGAGTGTCGCCTTTCTGTGGAGATTGAGCATCAGATTTGGCAGATTTAACTTAGTGCAAAAGAAGAACCTTAACTAAATCATGTAATAGATAGAAATATTCTGAATATTTTTCTTAAATGTTGGCTATTTTAAGAAGCAGGGGGATTATAATGTTTTATTAGAAGAAGTTCTGTATCTGTTCTAGGGAAATGGGGCAAAGGTGGATTTTTTAAATGGTTTTGAGCTGTATGAGGGAGAAATAATTTCACTAATTTATGGCTTTTAAATTATATTAGCATGTCTACAGTACCATTGCCTCACATTATCTCCATTGTTACTCTTCTCTCCCATATTGAGCAAAAAAACTAATCTCTGAACTGTGCTTCTTTAAGTACATACCTTTGAACATCATCTTCTGCTATCCAGAAAATAATGTTGCCTTGTATTTGGTCTGTTTCTGAGGCCTTTTGTGGGTGAATTTAATTGCAATAGTGACTTCTGAAACAATATTTCTAACATCACCGATAATGGTTTAATGAATGTAATTGCCAAGCTTAGTGTTCCTTCTACACATACTTGAATTGTTGGCTTATAAATTGGTAGTTTACATCGGCAGAAGTAACAGAATTTCCTTTGACCTGTAGTGCTGGTTTTCCTTTTCATGCTTTGTTGTTCATAATCTTAAAATGAATGTTTCATCTCCTTTCCAAAGATAGTTTGCCACATAATTTTAAGAAGGTGTTGTTTTCTTTATTAAGTGTCTAAAGAGGAGCAAAATTTTAGAACCTAGGAACGGAATTGTTTCTCCTCATGTTATATCGGTTCGATAAGAAAAAGAAGAAAATGAGGACTGTTGGACAAATGTACTGCTCAAATATTCATGACTGACCTCTTACACCATGAAAGAAAAGATTCTGAGATATTTTTCTCCCAGTCCTGGAAGACTTCCTAAGTGGTTTGCCTTATGGGGAGAGAAAAAGAAAAGGGAGGATCAGGCTTTTCAAGGAGCATTTTGTTCAGCAGAAACAGTATCTCAAAAACTTGTCTTTTATGCATTAAATTATATAATTGCCACTTGTTCCCTGATACTGCATGTATGCCATGTTTGACACAGTATTGATCCCCAAATTTGGGAAAAATGCTACAGCTTTAGTATTGTGTTCAAATACAGCAAGATGGATCTGTGGTTCCTAGCTATTGTTGGCTATATTGTACCTGTAAGGACAGACTCCATTATAGATCTGGAAGAGCAAACCTTTTCTCCCTAATATAGAAAACAACACTGAGTGTTATTGCCACAGAGTTAACGTGAAAGATCAATAAAACTTGAAAACTGTGTTGAGTCTTCTCTAGTTTATTTCAACTCTCATCATTACACCTGTCAAGAAAAGCTGGATGTACAAATTCTTCTGCTCGTTCTTTTGAAAAGTTTTCCACTCTCGTCTTGTTTGTGTGAATAACAGAAAAAATAATCTCCCTTAACGCTGAGGCTCTGTGTTTGTTCTCAGACAAGCTGGATGGTTTGCGGACTGGAACTAAAAGAAAACGTGACTGGGAAGCAATTGCCAGCAGAATAGAAGATTATCTGCAGCTTCCGGATGACTATGATACACGTGCTTCTGAACCTGGAAAGAAAAGGGTAATAAATTTTCAAATGACTTACTGTGTATATAACCCTTTAATGGTCTCTGTGAATGAGAGTTTATGTCAAGTCATTCAATGTCTATGAATATGGGAATTTCATTGACTCACTTTTCATTTTGCTGTTCCATTAGATTCTATAAGAGATTATGCTTGCAAGTAGGGTCTTCCAGAGGTAAACATATTAGTTAGAGCTAGGAATTGCAGATAATACAGATTAACTATGCATGACATAGTCTGAATACAAAATGCTGCAAGTTTAAATTCTATTGTGAAAAAAGGGGGAAAATCATAGAGGGAGGTGAAAGAGAGGTAATAGAAATAGGTAGTTTTTTTTCTCTCCAAAATAGAAAGACCAGCTTTTCCCACTAGAAGTAATTTGAATTAACTGTCAGTGTTTACGTATTGTTTTACTCTGTAATGTCAAATAGAAAACTGATTGTACTGGATAGTGTGTCTGAGAGAAATGGAGATACTTAAGGCATTGGCAGAGGAGATGATGGTGGAAGAAAACTGACATTGCTTATCAGTAGAAATGTCAGGGGAAATCCAGGTAGACTATGGATAGGGAGATGCAGGCAGAAAATTGGTAAGGCTATGTTCCCTAGTAACACATAGGCCTAAATGAGACTAATCAGTATGGCAAAGAAGAACTCCTTCACTCACTGTTTTTTCTTGTCCTGAAATTGTGTGTTTTAGCTGAGTTTCTGGACTGTAGCCTTTGTTCATTGTATCTGTCCTTCCCTCCTTCCTGTTGCTCTCCCTCCCATTGGTGTCTTGTTTTGGGGGTGTCATGGTGTTTGTTTGAACAGAATAAATACAAGGGATATGCATTACCACAAAGAAGTGCAGTGCAGATATGGAGATGTAAAGATGGGAAATAGCATAAGTATGAAAAAGTTACTCAGTGTAAAGAAATAGTGGAAAAATTTAAATAGGAATGTATCACGGAAGATAGAGAAGAAAACTGTCCTTCATTAATTTATTCATTGCTGACTTGCTCTTTAACACTGTCTTTCTGTAGTTTCGTAGTCATCTTCTAGATGTTTCCATTGGGCAATTGAAAGACATATTTCCCAGAAAATTAAAACAGTAAATTAGTCTTGGATAATTCTTCCTGCCCAAAGTGTTGCTTTGAACAGAGAAATAATGGTAGTAGTTACACTTCAACTCTCAGAACTATAGCACTGAAATGGAAAAAGCCTATCTATACCTTTCTTCTACTCCACAGAACATGTGGTATATTAAATTAAAAATAATTTCCCGCTTTACCTATCAGAAAAAAAAACCCAAAAACTTACCTGTTCTAAGGAAAAGTAGTAGAAATTAGTGTTCTTACTTGCAGTGGAAAGCCTAGACTCATATCAGGATTTCTTGGAAGATTATTGTACTGATAGAATGTTCTCCATAGGTGCGATGGGCAGATCTAGAAGAAAAAAAAGATGCTGACAGGAAAAGGGCCATCGGTTTTGTTGTTGGACAAACTGACTGGGAGAAGATAACAGATGAAAGCGGTCACCTTGCCGAGAGAGCCCTCAACCGCACCAAGTATATATGAAAAAGTGGTTATAAGTGGATTTTTGTGCCTTTAAGGTAAATATTCAGTCTTCCTGCGTGTTTGTAGCCTTGATGTTTTTCAAGAGTTGAGGCTGCAGTTCACAGCGTTGTTAGAGTTCTCCCAGAGAAAGCTATTTGATTTGGAACTTTGTATAATAGGTGTCAGCTGTGCCTATGTCAACATATGCACCCTTGTGTACAGCACGTGGCAGTAAAGGGGGAAGGATTATCAGCTATCAAATCTCCCAACCTTGTTAGAAGGAAGCTTGTGGTTTCATTAAGAGTAGTTTAGCTGTGTGCCTAATAGTCCTGTTGAGTTCAGATGTTGCTTATTATAACTTAAGTCTAACTATGTTAATTACTAGTTTATGTGACATAACAAACTTTTCCTTTCTTTGCAGGCCATTTGCTCTGAGGAGAAGTGAACCAAGGTGTTATGAGCATCTTGCATGGGTCATGTCACTCCCACCTTCACAGTTTTTCTTTGTTACTTTAGTTTCAACAATTTTCTTGAGATACTGGCAGATAACCAGTGCCCTCAAAAAACTCATTGAATCCCACTGCTCCTAAGTGAGAGAGACAGTTTACTTTTTAATATTTTTTGAGGGGTGGGAGGGGGAGGGTCAGTAGTTTTAGCTGCTCTTTGTGGGATAAAGTGGAAGGATTAGACAGATGTTACCTCCACTGTACCATCACAGAATGTTTATCACCTTTGCTCTGTGGATGTTCTCGTTTTATACTGTATGTACCTTGTAGCTTATTGTATTAGGAAGCAGAACAATAAATTTCACTATAAACTCTGTGTTCTTGGTGGACCATATGGTATGGTTTTTGTTTGACATTTTAAATGTGGTCTGTGTTCACATTAGTGCTCAGAACCATCCTTACCTGGAAGATGTACTGTGCTCATATTCTGGAATGTGTCCTGTCTTCTAGGTTTTTCACCTGCTCTTCTTCTCATAGACAGATCCATTAAGACCCCAGGTCTTGCTGGCCTTTAGGAGTTCATGTTCCTGGAAAACAGGAACATCATTATGTTTGAATCCTAGTTTCTCAATTATGTCAAATTTTCATTACTACGTGAGTATGAATTCTTTTGGGTGGTTCTGTAATGTTCAGGGTAGCAGTGTATGAAAAACTTGTCTTTAATGCTCAGTATGAAAACAGTTACTACAGATTTCTCTGAGGGACAACCTAGAAAATTGGTTTTTGTCTTACTCCTTCTTTTAGTCGACACTGATGTCTATCAGGGTATTTCATTCTATTTGTAAGTCCACTGAGTCATAGAGATACATAATTAAAAGAAGTGACAAAGACCAGAAGTTATACCCTTCTTTTCCTTTGATAAATGTGTTAAGCTTGATTTAAAAAAAAAAATATATGAGTAACAATCCACACTATTGAAAGTGGTACAGATTCTTCATAGATGCTGGAATATCACTTCTGCAGAGCCTCAGGTTTGCTGATGAAAACTTTCTTTTGTCCTCCCAGGTTTCAAAGCAAATGCTTTACATTAACAATGTTGTAACCAGGAAAGAGGTTTACATCTGAAAATAATTGCTGATTTAATGGTGAATTTAATTTTTTCTCCTGATCTTTCTGAGGGGAGAAAATGAAGTGCTGAATTTTCCTTCTCTGTTGAGTGATTACATTGTGCTTTGCATCTAGGTTGCTAAATCAGCTTGTTTTGGTGTGGTGGTAGTTCAGGTTGTTAAAGGAGAGCATGGTTGTAATAGATGGGTTTCTTTGGCATGTTTTGGTTTACTGGCTGCTTTTCAGCCTTCTCTGTGGTGCATGGTTAAAAGTTCTTCTGTAAACAAGGGGAACAGCTGAATTCGTATTATACCCTGAATATGTTTAATACAAGAAAATTGAGCTCCCTGAATGCAGCTTTTTAAAAATAGGTGGTATTAAATGCACATTTTCTGTGTGTATGTAGTTTACAAAGCATATATACTTCTCAAAATGTTGCTAAGTAAGTACTCTTTGAATTGTTATGGAGAATTGTTGACAAAGGGAAACTATTCGTTAACAAGAAATGAGTACTGTGTATTGCTGTGGAAATCGGGCAAGCTTCACTTTGCAGAAGTTACTCTCAGGTATGTGTAAAATGGGTTTCAGCCTATACTCAGTTTTCCATAACAAAACTGGGGTTCTTGTGGCACACCATGAGTTGATGTTGTTTTTTGACTCTTAAGAATTGATAATGATTTTTGTTGGTATTTTTGCTAATATGACTGTACCAAGTTCTTTTCTAACATTTTTCTTTGCAGACTGAAGAGTACTTTCTGGAGCATTCAAATGGATAGTGTCTAACAGAACTTATAATATTGTTTACTGGTTTCACAAATTTTAAAATTATTTTAGCAGATAATACTGAGAGGTTGTATCATGCTGTTTATTCTCTGGTGCATGTAGAATTAAAGAAAAATGAGTAGAGAATATACATAAAATTACACTTTACTCTGATGAGAACAGACAGAAAATATATCAATCTTGAAGTTTAAAGCAAAATTCAGTTATGAAAACATCATTGTAGGCTGTTGTTAGACTGTTTTCCCAGAAAAGGCTGAAGGGCTTGGATTTAGTTATTTTCGTGAAGTTCATAAGTTTTCCTCTTCTTTAGTACAGAAATACCAATATATCCATAATCTTTGCCATTTGTTTCAGTTGGTTTGAATGTTTAGCAGATCAATCTCCAACTTCTTGATGGGAAGCAACTGAAAGAGAATAACTTATGCCAGAACTACAACCTATAGCAGATTCTACATATTCTGGACATTCAGCGACTGAAGAAATCAAGCAAAAAGGAAATATTCATTATTGCTGCTGGCAGAGCTGAGAATAGCTAGCTAGTCCCTTGCTTGGCTCCTAACCAGAGGTTGGTGATTAGTGATTTTGCTTTTCTCTGGGAAGTCCTTCAGTACAGTATACATTGTCCTGATCCTGATTTAGTTCTTACTCCTTGGCTCGCTGATATTGTCAGTAGAACCTTTCACAGCACTGAGCAGAATGAACACCTACTTTCATTGGTAACTAAATAGGAAGATATGCATCTAGCAGTCTCATGCAATGCTCCATCTTTGACCATGCATGCAGTTGTGCTAACTCTAAGTTGAGCTGTTTCTGTGCGTCACA